AGACACCACTGGCACGTGAAGCATGAGTCAAGAAGCAGCTCTTTTTTCACTTTGCTCCTAGCCATGGCTCCTCACGACCTAATGTCAGTTTTTTTTCCTTAAACTAGTTGTTGAAGCTGTAAAGCAATTGATAAAGTGGTGCTTTACTAATTATCTTCTTTTCATGTGAATTATGAAAACAGGGCCATGTAAAAACAAAATGAATAAATGCTGTGGGTACAATTTGACTTGGGTCCTATTGACCTAATTTATAAGATCCTAGGCAGGGAAATGATTTCCCACTTGCTTCTCCTTGTTAACCAGTCCTTTAAACCCAGAGAACAGACTCCTCTGGTTGATTTCTGTGTAGCACAATAAGTGTTGATAAGCATGGAATGTGGTCAGCAGAGACTGGCAAAATTCAGATTACCAAACAATGCCACAAAGAAAAACACAGTTCTATAGATTACTTATGTAACTTAAATAGCCCTTTAGATGAGAGATAGAAGTTAAAAACAGAATTTAGATTTTGATACTGGTTGATTATTATGATCATCTCTTGTTAAGATGTGACATTCATTTATTCATCCATTTAATAAATAGATGCTTGTGATATGAAATTGGCTTTCTAAAAAAATAGGCATCGTATAATATTATTTTACAAATTTTTGCCTAATAGCCATTTTTAGATATCATGTTGGAAATGTTATTCTTTCCCCTTTATAAGTTTCTCCTGACATATACTTGTATTAAAAAACACACACACTAAATATAACATTGAGGTTTTATCTTCATGTGTTGAATGTGGAAATTATAGGCCAAGAACTTGATAGAAGTTCAAAATGGACTCCCTCTGAATAATAGAAAAATTGTCATTGTTAGAAAAAGTACTGGTTTCTAGTTCCATTAATTTTAAATCTATTTTGCCTGCTAAGAAAAAGAATTTTATTTAGTAGTTAATAGTTTAGCAGTGAATAGTTATACCTGACTGTTGCTAGTTCAAACCTTTAAGCACAGATAAAATAGACTTTAGATACTGGTAGTAGCTTCTTATGTTATTTTAAGACTTTTTTGTTATTTGTACTGCAGTATATTTAGGATGTCCTTGCCATTTTCCACATTGTGTTGTCATAGCATTTGTTTCAAGGAAGTGATGTTCTAGTAGGTTATTTCATCCTTCTAAAATGCATGACATCCTGCTAATTACCAAGTTCAAAGAGAAAATGTTCCAGGAGTGGTCCTCAAACTTGAATCAACCGGAGGGCTTGTTCAATTATGGATAGCTGGGTGTTCTCCCCCAGAGCGTTGATTCAGTAATTTTGGATGAGGCCTGAATGTTTGCATTTTACCGTGTACCCAGGTGGTGATGATGGTGATGCTGCTCCAGGAACCTCACTTTGAGAACTACTGTGTTATATTTAGTACGGTGCCCAGAAAGGCTAAATACTCCCTTAACACATGTGTTAGTTTTCTGTGGCTGCTGTAACCCACAAACTTAGTGGCTTATAACAACACAGATTTATTCGTTTACACTTCTGGAGGTCAGAAATGCAAAATCAGTTTTGCTGGGCTAAAGTCAAAGTACTGGCAGAACAGGTTCCTTCAGGAGGCTGTAGGGGAGAATTTGTTTCCTTGCATTTTCAGCTCCTGGTGGCTGCCATGTTCCTTGGCTGGTGGCCTCTCCTTCCATCTTCAGAGCTCATCACTCCAGTCTCTGCTTCTGTCATCATGTCACTTTCTCCCTTTCTGTTGTCAAATCTCCCTCTGTATCCCTCTTTTCAAGACACTTGTCATTATAGTTAGGGCCCATCTGGATAAACCAGGATAACTTCCCCAATCCAAGATCTTTACCTTAATCACATCTTCAGGTTGCTTTTTGCCATATAAGGTGACATCCCCAAATCTCAGGCATTAGGACTTGGGTATTTTTGGAAGCCATTATTCAGCTTACCATACTATGAAAATGTACTCATCTATCTTGGTCTCTTGGTCTCTCAGAAGACCTTCACTAGCATATCCAGGGAGAAATACCATTTGGCACGTCTAAAGTTGGAGTCACTTTGGGTTGCCTCTCATATGAACCTGGAGATGATTAGCAGGTGGTAAACACACCTGCTTTTGCAATAAATATTCATGGAAAACCAGGATAACACAACATCTGAAGGTTTTCTCTAGGAGGGCCACATATTCCTCATCCTTAAAGAGCTTACAGGTTAATACAAGATGTGACTTGCTCACAAATACATTTAGCATCTGGCAGCATATGACAAAAGTCCTGTAATAGTGGTACAAATAGACCTCTAAGATTAAAGAAGGAGGAAGAACTATGACAAGATGCTCAGGGAGGACTGAACTAAGGATGTGGTTTTGAGGATGAAAGATGAAGGACCTTCAGCTGATGACGATGGGCAAAGGTGGTGAAGGGACGAACAGTGTTGGGAAAGAATAGAAAGTAGTAAGGCTGGAACTGTGTGTGTGTATGTGTGTACATGTTTGTGTTTGGGGGCAGGAGAGGAGGGGAGACAGCAAGCCTGATGACGGTAAGAGACAGATAGGGCAGGTGGGTGAAGGTCATGATTCCCAGGTCAAGAACTTGGCTCCTGTTGAGTAAGAAAGAACAGAGGTGACAGACAACGGAACTAGAGCTGGAGCAGCGTGAGGAATAAATTAGAAGCAGTAATGACAGGGCGGGCGCCTGGGTGGCTCAGTTGGTTGGGTGACTGCCTTCGGCTCAGGTCATGATCCTGGAGTCCCGGGATCGAGTTCCGCATCGGGCTCCCTGCTCAGCGGGGAGTCTGCTTCTCCCTCTGACCCTCCCCCCCTCATGTGCTTTCTCTCTCTCTCAAATAAATAAATAAAGTCTTAAAAAAAAAAAAAGCAGTAATGACAGGTGGCAAGGGGATCTGTGTTGGCCACTGCAGTAGTCCTGATGTCCGGCGTCCATGGCATTGGTCCATATGCTGGTGGAAACTGGCTCTTGCATATCAGTTGTGGATTTTTGTGTCAGGTGTGCCCCAGAAAGTTGGCAGGTCAGTTTCAGACAGGTAAAGCATTTCCTGCTTGTTGTGAAGGTTTATCCAGTACTGAAGAGGTAATGTTGAATTTTTTAAAAGGGAAAGGAGAAGATAGGCAGGATGTTTTTGGTGTATTTAAAAGTTACTTCTAAAAGAGGGGGGAAAAGTGAAAGTTTAAAAAGATTTCTACTTCCAGAAGAATGACTACTTATTACCTGGCAAAAAATGTGGCTGTTTTTTTTGTTATGTTTTTCATAGGGGTAGAAAGAACTTTTTTTTTTCCATTTAGAGTCATTCACTTAGCAAGAGGGGAAAAAAATTCAAGGGATATACAGATTTTAATGAAGATGATGAATACTTTTTTTTTTTTGAAGAGACAAAAACTGCTCCTTATTTTTTAAAAAATGTTATACTTGGTACATAATACAAATAATTTTAAGATATACTTCAGTTGTTTTGCTACTACCAGAACAGATACAAAAAAGAAAAAAAATATACTTCGGTTGTGTGATATTTAGAGAAGAGAAGGCAGCTGACTTTTAGGGGATGAGAAGGAAGGATATTTCAGCCATGGCACCCACCCACTTCCTCAGCCTGCTCCATGTGCTGGTCTGTGCTCAGTTCTGGACTGTGGTATTTAATTGATTTTCTCCCTGCCCTCTGAGGTTGGTATTATTACCCCATTTAAAAGAGAGAGGAAACCATCTCAAAGAGGTTAAGTAACCTTACGTGGCAGAGCTGGCTTTCGCCCCAGGTCGTGTGATTGTTCTCCCACATTCATCACTGTTAAATGTCCTCACAGTAAAAATAGTCCATCCCGGGGCACCTGGGTGGCTCAGTCGTTAAGCGTCTGCCTTCGGCTCAGGTCATGATCCCAGGGTCCTGGAATCGAGCCCCACATCAGGCTCTCTGCTCAGTGGGAAGCCTGCTTCTCTCTCTCCCACTCCCCCTGCTTGTGTTCCCTCTCTCGATGTGTCTCTCTTTGTCAAATAAATAAGTAAAATCTTAAAAAAAGAAAAAATAGTCCATCCCAATGTTTGGTCAGATCTAAAAAGCAAACCAATTCACTGATATTACATTATGTCATCATGTGGATATTTTATGGCAAAGAAGGATGGGAGAGAAATGACAAGTGCAAGAATATTTTTAAAGTGTTTAATTTCTACGAAAATTATATAAGCATATGGTTTCCAGAAATCCTATTTTTGTATTTTTCAACAGATAAAAGCCTTTAACTTACTGTACTAGAAAGTAGAACATTTCACTTTGTAACGGGAGACATCTGCTTTTTGGCCCCAGTAACAAATCATTTGTATGCCCGTGGTAGACAAAAATGATGTCAGCCCTTCCTGACCTGCCTAACTCTTGCCAATCACATAAGTCTTTGTTCAAGCTTCAGCTCTCTTTCTTTCCCCTGCCTCTTCCCATGCCTCAGCTCCCTCTGGGCTGTCCATCCTATCTCTGCCTCCCCCACCCATTGTGCCCTCTACCCCATTGGTGGATGCTGACGAGCTTAATTGCTGTACCTGTCACACGGTTACCTATGTGTTGCCCAGACTTACTGTCAGTGCTTCCAGGTTGGTTCCTGAAAACAAATACTGATTAAAGAGTTGTCGAACAGGTCTGCTCTTTGTCCAAGAGGTGGATGGCCGTGCTACGTTAAGTAAGGTGTATGGAGAAATGAGACAAAATTTCAAAAACAGAGAAGGGAAAAAAAGAAATGGGAAGGGGGACATTCTTTAATTTTCTTTTTTTTTTTTTTTGAATTTTAAATCATTCGTTTTATTTTTCTGTACTGGAAATTTTATGTTTACTTAAAACCTTGCAGTATAGCAGAAACAGACGTATCAACCCATTGTGCCTCTGTATAAACAAATATTTTCAGAGTTTACTCCTGGTATTTTCTTCAAATTACTCCACAAAACTAACTGCTTTGAGAGAACGTTTTGCACTAGATTGATGATTTAAAAACAAGCTCAAAACCGACATGAAAACAAAGAGTTTTCCTCTCTTTCAGGACAAATGTTTTATATGAAGTTATCCTCTTCAAACACCTTTGGTCTTAATTCTGGGTGAACCAGGATGGTTGCTTCCTGTCTCGTTCAATGATTCTTTTACCGCGATCTTGATGAGACGCTGCCTCTCCTGTGTACAGCACCACAGTCTCCACGGAAGGAACCTTAAAAGGGCCCCCTTCTTGTTGCCCTATCTGTCTTCTGATTTCTGCAGTCTCCTTGCACACCTTCTCATAGCAATAGCCACAAAGGACGTGTTTCAGTTTCAGGTGACCACATTCAGGACAAGCGTCAATATCGTTCTTAACTTTAATACGCTTCTGAGGGTTTATTCCCCTACAGGGGTTAACTTCAATGCTGCGTCTGTTCTTAGGAGCTGCCATCCAAAAGATACTATCGGAAAGGCTGAAAATCTCCTTACTTCCATTGGTATCATTTGCTGGTTCTGTAAATATAGCTGGACCTTGGACTGCTAATGCTGGTCCCCACGGAGGACTGGGAAAACCTGGTCCGCTCTGCTGAAGTTTCCACTATAGTAGTTCCCAACAGTTCTGGAGGAGTCCCTGGGCTGCCGGCTACGGTGGGACGACAAGCGCCAGCATGGCCGACGCCATCTTCCTCACCTGAAGACCCCATTCTTTAATGTTTAAAAAAGGAGTTGCAGTTCCACATCCTAATGTTTTCTCTGTAGTTGTTTGCTTGTTCCAGGTTTTGTTCTGACATTAGGGGAGTCGATGGTAAAGGCCAAAGAAACATCTGTCCATTTTGGTAGGATAAGATTCATCTTGATTTTCCATTTTCTTCCCTGCAGGCGTCAGCTTTGGTATCTCATGAGGGGAAGGGAGGTACAGGAGTCACACATGCCAAGGAGTGTCCGGTCGTCCTAGTAGAGGAGCACTCTCCACTCTATTACCACGTCTGTCTGTTCACCATCAAATCCCTGGCAGAGCTGGTTTGTTTATTTCTCTAGTCTTCCCTCCCGCTCTGACCACTGAGAATGGCTCATCAGTTGTTAATTCCTTTTCATTTCCTTGGCTCTACCAACAAATACCAATGCCATCCGTAAATGAAATAGCCTAACTCCTGAAGCATTTAAGTCAACACCCAATTAATTCATAGAGAGATCCTGGGGCAATTTAAAATATCTTTCCCCCCTTATCTATTTATTCCATTCCAGAGGCAGTATCCAGTTGCTTTGGTCTACCTCATCTGACTTCCAGTGATTTTTTTGGGCGAGGGTTTGCTGGAAATCTACTTACTAGGTCTGTGCTGATGGTAGCTACGTGGTGCATTATTGTGACCCTTCTGGTTACCACGAAAATCTCTTTCACGGGATTTCTGGACAGTTTTGAATGTGCGTTTTTATTTTTCCTGGTACCAAATAAGGTCATCTTTGTAAAAACATTAGCAGTCGTTCATTGCTTCATATCCCATTTTTATCAGGATCACTCTTCTTGAACACCATAGGTAACAATACTTTCCTTCTGCTTTGGGGTTGTGGCAACCCTGTGGATTGGGTAGAGGTGACATGGGTGGGCATGACTGAGGCGTGGCTGGAGGAGCTGGGGTGGTAAGAGAAAGGAAAGTGAGGATATGGGGGAGAAAGGTTTTTGTTTGTAAAGGACGGGGAGGTCTTCCTGGGAGGCACGTGTACTCCTTGTGGTAGGTCTCCTCAAGCGCTGAGCCGCCGAGAATCAGACTCACTAAACTACCTTACCCTTAGCAATGCTGAGAGACTAAAGAGAAGTCGGGCTTCTGATACTTTACGGTGAGACCTGTTGCAGCAGTGCGGGTTTGTACAATTCCCAGCTCCGTTTCCAACAAAGATTTTGAGTCTTACGAAGATAGCCCTTTCTCTTCCTCCTCTTAAGGAGAATCTGTGAGGGGCCATATGATATGTTTCTCTTCCACAGCCATTCACACTCATGTTAAATATCTCCTCCATCACCTTTGGGACAACATGAAATTAGTTCTGTAAATTACAGGGAAGAAGAAAGAAGGAAATAACTTGTGCAGGGTTTTTAAAGTAACTTTAATATGAGTTCAGTCTAACATATCTAAGCCCTCATCCTGTTTCCAAATAAGTGTCTTTTGAAAGAATGGCTAATATCCCAGTTATCAGGCAGTTCATAAAACAAAGCCCTGCTCCTCCAAGGATTGATTATTTATTAGCTGGTGAAACATTTTTGTGTGGTATGTTGTTGCTTCCAAGTCTCCTTCTCATACAGTATCTCATTTTACTTTTCTGTAGCTTCACAACAAGCCTCATATAATTAGACCTTGTGAAAGACCTGTTAAAAAAGTAGCTGTAAGTGACTGCAATTTGCAGTCACATTTGCTGACAGGCAGTGATGATGCTAATGACATAAGAGAACTTGGTTCAAGGAAACCGGTCATTAGGGTCACTAGTTGATCCTTGGCCAGAAGCTTCATTAATAGGAAAATTGTCACTCTCTGCTGCCAGACGACCTCAGGATTTTTGCCTCTGTTCAGGTTGATAATCAAAACGTTGCCTCTAAAAATGGAATACCATCTAATGATTAGGAGCAAATTTATGAATAACTCTAATAAATTTAATTTTAAGAACTGTTAGTTTAGTAACTAATTTATTGCTTGATTATAGGAATTAGGTCATGTAGCCATTATCTGAGCTCGGGTCCTTTATTTTCAACAGAAACTCAAGCATGTTTAATAAACTACATAACTCATTAATAGTCTTTAAGTCCTAAGTCCTTACCTACTAAATGAACAGGTTGAGATACTAAGAAAAGAGAAAAAAATGAATTGCTAAGTGTTTTTTTAGCCATCCTTATATTAGTTGTATTTCAAGTTTAAATAGATGTGAACATTTACAAAGAGCTAAAATAATGAGTAAGGTTACCAAACAAATAAATGAGTAAAATAACAACAAAAAAACCACCCCAATTTATTATTACATAAACAACAGCAAAAATATCCTAGGAAACCTGGCTTTTCCCTCCCCTCCCACCCATTAAAAAGCACATAGGGAGCCTCCTGGGTCTGTCTTAAAAGTATCACACTGTCCCTATTGCTCTGTCTCACAAACACACAGACACACATTCTTTCACATTCATTCAGTTTCATTCCTTTTAAGAGTAAATGAAAAGTCTTGTTGGAAAGATAACTAGGATACCTGTTTTAATTCTGTGGCCGGGTGACTGTGTTCTTTTTTCCCACCTGATATTGACAGTATCCATAGACATCTTGGTCCAACAGTCAGCCTTTATATGTGATGTATATTCAGATACGTGGAGTGACTTATATGAAGTCTGACTTCTTTAAAGGTAGCATGCAAAAGCATAATCAGGTTGTTGGAAGTAAGATAAATATGAAAGAATGTTTTTAACAGTATTTTTGTTAGAGTTAAAATCATTTAAAGGTTTGTGAATCCCTCAGAAAAATAATAAAACCTACTAAATGTTCTGTTTATAAATGACTGTTTTTCCAGTGAAACCCTAAGAGATTTAAACCCTAGGATGGCACCCCACGGGGCTCACCACAGCTCCCATTTCCAGTGGCTGATCCACGTTATTGATGAAATACATTTTCAACTAGATGGATTTGACACAGATAACAGCCATCTTGACTGCATCAGGGAACTATTCATAAAACAAGGCCATTCCTGTGCAGGTGGAATTTTTTTTTCCTTGCAATACAAAGAAGGATTATAGTTCTCCTTTGAAAGAGAATATTTAAAAACCTGTCTTAAAATTTTATGGCCTGAGGACATTTTGTGGTAGGCTACCCTACTTTAATTGTCTTAAATATTTGTGAGTTATTGTTTTCAATTACTTCTTATGTCCTTAGGTTTATCAACTACACATGACTGTTTTAAAATCTTCCTCACTGTTATTTGGCTTCCCTAGTTTTATCACCAATCTAGGATATCTCTTCTGTGGACTACTGCACAGAAAAGTGGTATCTTCTGCCAGAAAAGCTAATAACTGTGACCCTAGAATTCTGCCAGAACCAATAAGTGAATTGGAACTTACAAATCCCTGCCTTAGCAATATGCCCTGGGACATGGAAAATATTTCTCTTTAGTAAATAGTTAGAAGATCATCTGCTTGGAAGTGATTGTTAGATGGCCTTTTTTGGCACCATGTGAATGTTGGAAAGAAAAGATACTGGGACGAGATGATTCTCATTATCAGCCGTTCTGTAATGCATTTTCCTTAATATATCTTCCTAATGAATTTTAGAGTTGAAAACCTTTGGTTTTAAATTATTAAGCACTTAAACTAATAAACCCAGACTCTTCATGCATCTCAGGAATCCAAAGATATCAGAGCCTAGGGAAAGAAATTACAATTTGATATGGTAATATCATATAGAATGTTAAAAATGATTTAATTGGATTTTGGTTTTAATCATTGGAATAGTGTTGCTAAAGTCAAGGTTATAGGTACAATCTATTGTAATGGTCTATGAGTGGTACATATTCAAAATGTATGCCATAACTCACAAGGCAAGACATATAGAGGCATATGAATGAATCATGGTGGCCACACCAGTGCAAAACCAGCTCTAAGAATGCTCTGGCCATCAGTTAGTGGTAGAATTTTGTGTGGAAGTCTATTTTATGTCATGACATTTCAGTTTTTGTTAATTGAAGATGGGTATTAAGCTCATGCTTTTATAGAACACATTTACTTTTACAAAGCACAAACTATATATTCTTAATGATAATCTCAAGAACTCTGTGGTAGATGAAGTGTCTGAAGGCCAGGGAAGTTGATGTGACCATGGTTCATTCTTCACACATTCTGAGCCCAACCAGGGTTTTAACTTAAGCCTGTTATATCCTAAGTTAGGTGTTACATGCTGCTAGACAGCAGCCATGCACGCCTAATAATCAGGACAGTGCACATTTTGGCCTCCAAGAGGAAAGTACCATGTTTGCGTGTGGGCTTCTTGGGTTTTAGTCTAATCAAGGTTGATAGACCTTTCCTTCTAAATAGATCCTACAGTGTTAGCAAGAGAGATTCTGCCTTGATGGTGGCAGCCATTTATTCCAAAGATGATGATACTACTCATACTGAATTGACTTGTGTACACAGTGAGAAACATATGGAAGTTTTAAAGGGATAAATGCACATTTAGAAGTTTCCAACAAAGAAAATTCTCAGGCGCCTGGGTTTAGAATGGAGTTTGGGATTCTGTATAGTATTTTCTTCCTACATAGTGTGTGTGTTTTCATGATAGACCCTTAACTCCTCTGGCTTTGGATTTCTCCTTTTGTAGCAGGTGAAAGACCTGGAGCTATGATTATATATACATTACAAAAAAAAAAAAAAAAAAGAACCTGTCTCAGCCTGGAAAACATTAAGTTTTCAGAATTGATAAAATGTAAAATGAAAAGAAAACTCAAAAGTACATAGAGTCAAAGTTGAGAAAAATAAGACCGAAGAGGCAAAATTCCAAGAACTTCTAGAGGTACAAGAGTTCTTTCGAAGCTGTACAGCCACTTATTTCACCTGTTCACCTATTTTACTGTTGCTGACCAGGTGTCAGTACTTCCTTGTATATGCTTGGATAGCTTATCACAGTACTGTGAACTTCTAGAAAAATCTGTGAGCTATTTATATTTCAT